ATTTTCTGTTTTAGGTTTCGCACCACATGGCTAACCTTGATGCTGAAGCTAAGGGTCAGACTCGGGATGGTAAAGACGAGAAGCTCAACGCCAATCTTGAAGTATGTTGAATTAAACTGTTCAGATACTACAGTTGAATTCCTTCCTACACCAATGAGGATTTAATTATTATTTATTCTTTCCTGTAGGCCTCTGGTGCATCACAAGGTATCTGGAAGATGACGTTTTACACCCCAGAACCAGTGGCCATGGTGTTGCAAGAGGCTGAACAAGCCGGCTACGCTGCCAAAACTACCTCTAGTCGCCTGGTTATGCGAAGCCCGTACAATACAGCAGAGACTTATTCAGAGGATGTAAGCAACACACTCCTATACAGTGTTTATTTCCTTTCCCTCCTTGTCAATTATATTAAACCTCTACTCTCTTTAGGTGGCTGGAGTCCCCATGGAGTTTTCAGGGTGAGCGCCTACTACATGGCACCACAGGGTCTGAATGTAGTGAACTTGGCAGCTGCTTGTCCCAAAGGTGAGTCCTGAGCAACATATTGCCTTCACAGTAAGCTTAATTGTTGCACAGTTAACCTCAACAGCTCCATTTTGTCATTAACAGGTGGCGTCCTCTTCACCGAGGATATGATTTCTTGGCACGTACCTCGCCGTGTGACTCCTCTGTTGGACGGCAGAATTACAGTCTCAGAAATGCACATGGGAATCAACGGGCAGAGGCTTGATAGATCTCAGATGGCCGCACGGGGGTACACACTGAGCACCACAGACTTCCACATCGTCGTCGAGATCCCAGTGGGCTCGCCTGATGGTTACTACAAGGTTGGGGAAATCTCTAGATTAGAAATGCAAGAGTCACTAGTGCATTTGCATGTTTTATTGAAATGTCATGAATTATTGCAGAGCCATGCCCCAGATTACCAGTACCACATCACCTACTTTGTGGAGCCCATGCTTGAGGTACTGTGGAGAGAAGATGACACCCAAGATGATACCAGATACAAGGTTTTGTTCCCCATCATGACCCCTCTGATGCCTCAATCTCCCCAAATCCAGGATGGTAAGTCACATTTTCTAGTAGGTATGAAAAAAATGACATTTGAACTCGGGCTTGCTCAGATATATCCTAAAGACTGCTACTTTTTAGTTTTTTTAAATGGCACTCAAGCCAACTACTCAATTTTTCTCTATCAATGTTGAGGCTGGTTTAGAAGTTGTAAACCTGCCACTTTCTGTTCCTCAGACACTGTCCCAGAGACTCGGGTGTTCAGCGTTCTCTTGGGAACCTTCCTCCATGACGTTGAGCTGAGGAACATCACCTTCTCCATCGGGGTCCTCACTGTTGAGGAGAGCAATGCCAAAGGCTTCACAGTCCAGGAACACAGCTTGGCTAATGGCTCCAAGAGCTTCTCTCTTCAAGTGCCCTTTGATGCCGATGTTGTCTTAAAACATGTATGACATTATAGATTCAAAATATCACTTTGTACCAGCATATTTTCAGTGTTGCTGAGCTTTTATTTCATTGGTTGCAGAATCCTGAGCGCTTGGTTCATCCTACTTCCTCCCTCTGATCTTTGGGTTGATCGTCCTGCCTGAAGAAACTCCTTTTGCTCTCCCGTGTCGACCTGCATGCCTCTCTGCAGGATATTGGTGAGATCATATTGAATTTGCTTTTGACAATATCTTCATGCAAATTGTGTTTTCTAAAATTAAATAAAACATATTGGAGTAAAAGCTACACAATCAAATGGATAATGCATCTTTTGCTGCTCTAGTGCTACCCATCATGGCTGGCACCTGTGACCAGAACCAGTTTTACATCAGCGTGAAATTCGGGAGTCACGGCTCTAATTTCAAGGCTATCGTTGGACCTCGAGAGCTGACGGCTGAGATGGCTGAAGACTACAATTTCTATGAGAACGGCACACACCTCAGCCTCATTCTGCCATACACTGCCAAGGACGCTGTTTTCGAGGTATGTCAAAACTACAAAATCCCACCATAGGTCTTCTGCATTGGCTAACTTTACTTTCTTTTCCACAGCTGCTCACTGCAGAATCAGTCAAATCCAGAATTGACCTGCTTCTGTTGGATCGTGCAAACGACTGGGTGCTTGCTGATCTCTATCTGGCTTGCTACTTCCCCTTAAAAGCAACAGGTAAGATGGAACGTGTAAGTATATTTGCTGCTTTAATTGATGGATTTGTGTTGCTTTACACATTGCCTGCTTCATCCTCCAGAGTGCCACCCCAATGGCACAATGACCGCTGTGGCTGTGAAGGTTGAATCGACTCGTAATCTGAAGCCAAGTCAGCTGACGCTAAAGGACCAGTCCTGCACACCACAGTTCAGCGACGATCGCTTTGCACATTTCTCCTTCAGTGTGGATACCTGTGGAACCACCAGAACGGTGAGTGTGAATCACATTTAAATATCAAAGGGGTTTGTTGTCAAATGTTAATGCATTTTTGTTGTTAAATAGTTCTTTGACAACTACATGATGTATGAAAATGAGATCCGCCTGTCTTACAACAACGCCAAAGGAGCAGCCAACACATCACCAGTTGATCCTGATTACAGGTAAAATATTTGATTCTGTATAATTGGAGATGAATACCTTCAATGTATGCATTTATATATTATTTTTCCCCTAATAGGCAAACTATTTCCTGCTTTTGTGGTCAATGAGACTCAGACTGTTGCCTTCAGCGCTAAACCAAGAACCTATGAGCCCGCTGCAGAGATCGGCACCGGCCAGCTGATGGTGCAGATGAGGCTTTCCCAAGGCATGGTGGAATTTTACAACATCTTGTTCATGCATACAAAACACTGTTTGCAGGTCTCCCTTGAAAAAGAGATCTATGATCTCAAGGGACCGATCTGATTAAATAAAGGTTTGAAATGAAACTGTAAATGTCCAGGCCTCCTTTCTCTAACGGGACTCTTCTCCTGCAGATCCATCCTACGAGCGCTTCTACCAAGCAGAGGATTATCCAGTGGTGAAATATCTGCAGCAGCCTCTGTATTTTGAGGTGGATCTGATGCATTCTACCGACCCGCACTTGGAACTCATTGCTGAGAACTGTTGGGCAACCCTTTATGAAGATGGGACATCTCTGCCAAGCTGGGACATCATTGTGGACAGGTAATGTTGTGCAAAACTAACTACTAACTACTCTCATTTTCATTTGTTTAACTGCTGCTTTATTAACTTTAAATTCCTTCACTAGCTGTGAGAATCGCAATGACAGCTATGCAACAATTTTCCATCCCGTTGTGAGTGACTCCAGAGTTTTAGTCCCGTCCCACATGAAGCGCTTCTCTGTAAAGATGTTCACTTTCACTAAAGATGACAAGGTTCTGAAAGACCAGGTAAGACTTGTAAATCCAAATCTGGAGTCTTTTAGCCACTGCTGCATGTAGCCATGTGTAATAAATCATCCTGTCCGTCCACAGATCTATGTCCACTGTGATGCAGTGATTTGTGACACAAGCAGCCAGGCAGATGGTTCCTGCAGAGGCCAGTGTGTGCATCCTCCAGGTCAGAGCTACTCAAGACCTGCAGGTGTAAAAAAGGGTAAGTGACCGAGTCTGAACAAATTTAGTCGATCTGGATGTGCAGTTGGTAATCTTTACTTGTTTTGCAGAGCGAAGAAGCACCGACTCAACACGCCAAAGGCAGATCTCCTCTGGGGCAATTATTCTGTCTAACCTCTGAATATTTTCTACAAGTGTTTACATTTTGTCATTTGCACCTTATGTACATTTGTTCATTGTTTTGTTTGGGACCAGGGGAACAATTTTATCAATGAATGTACTGTACTGCCTTTTATATTGATGGATGACAATAACGACTCGTGTATTTTAAATAAAATAAACGAAGAAACAAAAAAGCCACATTTGTATCAATGTGTTGCATCTTCTGTGGTCAATTTTAAGTGACATATTAATAAAAGCAGGTTCTGTGTCAACCAGTACCCTCATAACTCCAATAAAATGCAGAGAAGCAGCAACATATGTAACAGGGCTCGACATTAAGGACTGCCCGATGGCCCGGGGCCATCTAGTATTTAGCTCGGGCAATGAAGCAACCTGCTGGTTGCCCGATCGGGCAATCTATTATGCCAGTATCATGCAGCTCGCGGATCCAGTAATGAGAGACCCGACAGTAAAACTAAACTTATCTATAACTAGTTTAGGTAGTTTGAGAGGTAATTAAAATAGCTACGTGTGATATTCTAACCTAAAGTGTGTATTTTGTCCGCTCATGTGATCATGCAGAGCTGCGTGTCGACTCGTCAGCAGCAGCTGATCTCTCTCTCCCGTCAGATTAGACTTCACTCGCGTTTATGTCCATATCGATCAGATCCAGCTAGTTCTAGCTAATGAATGACTACTGACTACTGCTTATTAAAAGACACCTAAACAATAAGTGTCGCTATGCAACCGGATGAGGCCACAAGTATAGCGCAGCATTATGCATTTGTTTACATGCCCACCGGAACCCCGAGGCATTACCAACAGATCAACGCACAATCAACCCATACATGACATCTCTTTCTCCACATTAAGTGTTAGACATTAGAATTGACTATTCTTGTCTGTCACATACTCTTGTCTGTCACATAAGTGGCGCAACTGAAGCGGTATTGCGCTAAAGGGAAATTATTTTGACCGAAGATATTTAGATTTGCCGGCTAACGGGAACTCTGACGTCGCCATTTTGTGTGCTTCGCGGATGCGCTCGGCTCCTCTCGACTGCTGCTCGGGTCTGCTCGGTCAGCTTCCGGATGAGGAGGCATTCGTTCGACCAATTTAGATAACATTACAAACATTTTTAACAGGGGCCATAATAGTGTAAATAATGTTTGTTTTGGCAGTTATAACTGAATGTAATGTTTTCTACTTTTTTTACATCTGGGAAGGCATTTGCCTTCATCAGATGGAAAGTGTCTTGACCAACAACTTAAGTATTTCTTAAAGCTATGCAGGGCATGCAAGCCAGCAAACACAAACAAGAACAAACAAACAAGTGAAATTAAAAATAAAATTGAAATTGTACAATATAATATTGTGGTGGTTCATCTTATAATTCAGTCTAGAGAATGCACCAGACAGCATCTAAGACCTGCATAAATCTACATGTTCTAGGGGGAGGCCCCCCAAACCCTTCGTGCGTCATTTTGTCCGCGCGCATTTTTCAGGGCAATCTCTATTGGGCTCAGGGCCATCTGTAAATTAGCTCCCAAAATCCTTAATGTCATGCACTGTATGTAGAAAGGATATCCTATATAATAAACAACCCAAAATGATAAGTTGATTTAGGCGCTAAATGAAAGACGTTCTGAAGTTGTTATTGCCCCGCCTACTTGAGACGCACTAAAACATGATTGGGCGTGTTGTCACTTCCGCCTTTAGGGAACACAACAAACCTTAACAGAATTCACAGCCAATGGAGCAAGACAACCCTCAAATACTTGAAAATGCTCACTCTGAGTTTAAAAACTAGAACTTCAAATATGCAGAACAACTGTATACAAAGTTTATCTCCTTACAGTCCAGGTACTCTTTGTTCAATTGTTGGCGATGTCTGTACTAGTGTTGCAGCGTATTCTGTGTCCCCGGTTAAAGCTAACGTCCATCGTGTTCTGTCACTTTGTCATTTCATTACATGTATTGTTTTAGAGACTTTCAACGCTGTCATATTTCCACAGGGATTGTAAAGCCAGTCATTTGGCCACTGCTTACAACAACCGCGGACAGATAAAGTACCACCGGGTGGTTTTTGGCGAAGCAGTGGAGGACTTCTCTTTAGCGATACAGTGACAGCAGCTTTGAGCAGTGGCGAGCCGTGACTTTTATACCTAGGCCCTGTTCCCCGCCTTCCCTCGAGAAAAAAAAATAAGAGTTATTACGTCACAGCGTATACTTCAGCGGAATATCAAAACAACGGCCCGGGGTGCAAAACTCATCAATGACAGCGACCCTCTACCACACACAACATCATTTATATAAACACCTATCATGACAGGGCACCCACAGCCAAGTAACAATTACAAATGAATGAAGTCGGCACGGCGGCCCACATTGAAAATGACTTAGGCCTACCTTTGATGATCAAATCACTTAAACACAAAGTCCATCCTCCTGTCCTTTTGGATGAAGCACTTGATGGCGGGGTCATGCAGCTGATCCTTTGCCACTCCAGTTTATCATTGTAACTCAATCTTGAAAATTACTCGGTTAATAATTTTACAAACGATGTCATCACTATCACTGAAGTGAACCATCATGAACGAACTTATGCTAATCATAAATCTATCGATTAGATTTATGATTCGAAAATAATAAAAGTAGGGTAGACATGTGGATATTATCCGGCTGAACAAAACGTGCCTTTATCTAACAGGTTCGTTTTCCACAGACCTTATTTCAAGCTATTTTCCAAAACCCTATGGAGAAATCCCGTTGCTTTCTGTCGAGGGAATCCGAGCGCAGCTTACGTCCGGGTTTTAAGACGCATCACCATGCACCACTTGCATAGACCTCACAGCGGGCGGAACTTGTCATAAAGTCCGCGAAAATAAAGCCCGCCCATTTAGAGGGAAGATATGATTGGTCAATTGTACTGTCATTTGACATTACTCTCTCGTTGAGTTACTATAGCTGGCCCTCTGTGAATGTAGAGAGGGACCAACAAGCTCTCCCGTCTTCACAGTAACTCGCAGAGACGGCATTTAACCAAGCGGCAAACTGTGGGGTAGAGCCGGGAAGCCAATACGGAAGTGCCACACACTGCAGTTCATATATTGGCCGATAGGCGATGGCTGCAGAAAGGAGCAATTTCCATAGGCCCCCATGTTAAAATGCCCAACTTTACAGCAGAAAAAAACATGTTTCTACCCCTGGCTCCATACATTTTATTAGCGATATAGTTAGATTCCACCTTCATGATTATGGATCTGTGAGTGAATTGTTTTCTAACGCGACCCTTTTATTTATATTAGGTCTTAAAGTTTGTGCATAGATTAGGGCGTGGTCACATTGAGTGACGGCTGTTACAGATATGGGCATCTGTTAATGCCTGCTATATAGTGACGCCTGTTGGCGCTTTAGTAAACTGCATGCTGACACAGGCTTACACTGTGATGTACTATATCCGCAAGCGCGGGAATATACATGTGATGGAGTTGTGAGTTACGGAATAAAGCTGCAGACTGAAACATGGTGTCAGAAGTGGTCTTCTTGGACTAAAAGCTCAAGAAAACTCACGTCATGACGACAAACAGTATTCCGGCACCCGAGGGCATGCATATGTCTGGTGATATAGCCAAAAACTGGGAGGTTTTTAGAGCAGAATTTGAGGACTTTATGCTCGCTACAGGTCTGACCGAAAAAACGAATGCGGTGCAGGCAGCCACGCTGAGACGGCTTATGGGGAACGAGTGCCGGCATATATATATGCACAACGTCACGCTGACCGAGGAACAAAAGAAATACCCCAAAACAATCTTGGATGCGTTGGGGGATTATTTCAAGCCGGCAAAAATGTGATTTATGAGAGATACACGTTTGGATGCTGCAAACAAGGACCGGACGAGCCGATCGATAGCTTTATAACAAAGCTGAGGGAAAAAGCATCATCATGTGAGTACCGTGACCTAAAAGATGAACTGATTAGGGACAGGCTGGTACTCGGTATTGCCAGCGAGAGCACCAGACGGAGACTGCTGCGTGAACGGGACCTAACGCTGCCAACAGCTGTGGAGATTTGCCGCCTTGCAGAATTGACGGAGTCACGCATGAGGCTTATTGAGAGCCCGCAGGCACAGGTGGACAGTATTAATTCTATGGTGGACAGGCAAGGCGGACGACGCAAAATACAGTGGAAAACAGCTGAAAGAAACACAGCGGCTGAGAGAGAGCAGCAGTGGACCTGCAAATACTGTGGAAATGGACACAAACGGGGCAGAGAGCAGTGCCCAGCCTATGGTAAGACCTGCCGAGCATGTGGCGTTTCAAATCACTTTGCAAAAGTATGTCAGGCCAGCAGCAGAGCAGAGAAAACAAGAAAAGTTAATGTTGTTGAGGATGTACAGCAAACTGAAGGGGACTCGGATACAAGTGAAAACCTATACAATGTCACTGAATATGTGGGGAATGTGAAAGCACCTGGACGCAAATGGTTTGTACACCTACACCTGAATAAGAAAAGACAGCTATGCCAGCTAGATACAGGGGCCACTTGCAATGTTATGGGCCGCCAGTTTAAAGAGAAACTGTCACCAAAGACAGCCTTACAGCCGACCAGAACAAAGCTAAAGCTGTACTCTGATACATACATGCCATCCCTGGGGAAATTTCACACTGACTGTGTGGTCAGGGGGAAAATACACAGACTTGTGTTTGAGATAGTGAACACCAAACAAAAGCCCCTGCTCGGTGGTGCTGCATGCACTGATCTGGGCCTTGTGAAATTCACTATTCCAAGAGAACTACTGCCAGCGGAGGTGAACACTATTGATGCAAGCCAGTCTATGCCACTCACAAAAGAAATGCTACTGAAAGACTTTCATGATGTTTTCCATGACCCGATCGAGTCAGTCCCAGGTAATATTCATTTCGATCTGAACCCTGAAGTGACACCAGTCCAGTGCTCACCACGAAATGTCCCTGTAGCGCTAAAAGCCCGGGTTAAGGAAGAGCTGGACAAACATGTGAAAGCAGGCAACCTTACGCCAGTGACAGAGCCAACAGCGTGGATAAGCAACATGGTGACAGTAGCTAAACCAGACAAGATAAGAATCTGCATTGACCCAAAGCCTCTCAATCAGGCACTTCTCAGGTCCCATTACCACATGCCAACGCTAGAAGACGTCTTGTACAAACTGCCCAAGGCTCGTGTCTTCACACTGGTTGATGCTCGTGACGCCTTTCTCCAGTGCAAGCTTGATGAGGAAAGCAGCCGCTTGACGACATTCTGGACCCCATGGGGTCGGATGAGATGGCTCAAACTCCCGTTTGGAGTCTCAGTGGCGCCAGAGATCTATCAGCGCAAGCAACATGAGCTGCTATCAGGCCTGGCTGGCATCGAGCCTATTGCGGATGACATCCTGGTGGTCGGGTGTGGCGATACGGACGCAGAGGCTGAAGAGGACCACAACACCAACTTAAGAGCTCTCATGCAACGGTGCAGGGCTGTGAAGCTCAGATTGAGTGAACGCAAGCTGCAGTTCAAGCTCAAAGCTGTACATTTCCACGGCCATGTACTGTCTACAGAAGGACTGAAAATCGACCCAGAGAAAACTCAAGCAGTGTTGGACATGCCGACGCCCACGGATGCTAAGGCAGTGCAACGCATGATCGGGTTTGTGACATATCTGGCTAAGTTCCTGCCAGGGCTATCGGAGATCTGTGAGCCTCTTCGCAGACTCCTGGATAAGGACACAGCATGGCACTGGCTGACAAAACACGATGATGCAATACGCGAGATAAAGCGGATGGTCACCAACACGCCGGTTCTCAAATATTATGACGTCACAAAGCCTGTAACGATCCAGAGTGATGCCAGCATGAATGGACTGGGGTGCTGCTTGCTGCAAAAGGGGCAGCCCGTAGCCTTTGCCTCACGCGCACTGACACGGACTGAGCAAAACTACGCTCAAATAGAGAAAGAGTGTTTAAGCATAGTTTTTGCATGCCAGAGATTTCACCAGTACCTATACGGCAGGGACACAATCACTGCAGAAACAGACCACAAACCACTGATCACCATCTTTAAGAAGCCCCTCATGAATGCGCCTAAACGCCTTCAGGGCATGTTACTGCAGCTCCAGGGGTACAATCTGGATGTTGTTTACAAACCAGGCACGGAGATGTATGTCAGTGACACTCTAAGCAGGGCCACTCCACCGTATCGTGGTTCCGACACCCCCTATGTACGACAGGCGGTGTGTTCCATGGACAGCTTTCAGGTGGAGGACTCAGAGCTGGATCAGGCACAGCATCTGGATGTTACTGACTTCAGGTTTCGCCAAATTGCCCAGCACACAGAGATGGACGATGTATTACAAGCTTTGACATCAGTAATCCTCAGGGGATGGCCTGATTTCAAAGAGGACACCCCCCTCTTGGTGCGAGAATACTGGCCCTTCAGGGATGAGCTCAACGTGCAAAACAGTGTGCTATACAGAGGGCAGTGCGTTGTTATCCCTAAGGCCTTGAGGGCAGAGTTGTTAAGACGCATACACACCAGCCACATCGGGGGGGAGGCATGTTACAGGCGCGCCAGGGATACGCTGTTCTGGCCAAACATGAGAACAGAGATAAAAGACTATGTGTCGAACTGCTCTGCATGCAATGAATATGCACGAGCCCAGCAGAAGGAATCATTGATGTCGCATGATATCCCAACACGTCCATGGCAAACAGTGAGTATGGATATCTTCTCTTACGCTGGCCAAGATTTCATCGTCCTAGTGGACCACTATTCAGACTTCTGGGAGATTGATCTTCTGCCGGATCTATCAGCTGACACTCTCATCACACGCTGTAAATCTCAATTTTACGCTACGGACAGCCAGACAAAGTGCTCACAGATAATGGCCCACAGTTTGCCTGTGAACAGTTCAGGAAGTTTTCTGCAAAGTGGGGATTTAACCATGTCACATCCTCACCCAGATATCCAAAATCAAACGGCAAAGCTGAGTCAGCTGTCAAGATAGTGAAATCACTCTGCAAGCGGGCAAAGTTGGATGGCACGGATAAATGGCAGGCCATTCTCCATTGGCGCAACACGCCCACAGAGGGGTTGGACAGCAGTCCAGCCCAACGCTTAATGTCACGAAGGCTGAAGACTTCGCTGCCGGTTGCGGACAGCTTGCTGCAACCGTGGTTAGTGACGGGAGTGACGGAGAAGCTGCGGTTGAAACGGCGGCTTGCAAAATCCGCCTACGACATATCGGCAAGGGACTTACCAGAACTGAATGTTGGGGAACACATAAGGATGAGGCCTCTTCCAGGAGATCGCACAGGCCGTTGGCAACTGGGTCAATGCCTCCAGAAAGTCGCTCCTCGCTCATTCGTAGTGGAGGTGGACGGCACGCTCTACAGGAGAAACCGGGTGGATCTGCGGTTGCGGAGCGCTCAGCCCGGATGCGACAGCTGGTAGGGCCGGAGCAGAGCAGCCACACGGACCGGGGCCATGTCAACGCAGAGAGGGCTGCAGGTGGAGCTCGAACCGACCCGGTCCAGGATGACACAGGTTTGGGGGAGCCTCCTCACTCTCCAGGGGTCCCGGCGCAAGGGCGGGGTTTGACACCAGGGAAGCCAGTGAGTACAGAGAGCCAAGCTGTATACTCGCGGTGTGGTCGCCTGTTACGGCCGCCGCAGAGACTGAACCTGTGATACAACTGGGAACATTGTCACTAAGTCTGTTGGACTGTTAAGAAAGAAAAAAAAGAATTGTTGGATATAATTATAGTTTTGTATCGGTACTTGCATGGTTAATCAGTATTGTAATTGTTTTCATGTATTGGAGGTTGACAATGTTAAAGTGTTAGCTTTACACAATGTAGCTCTTACCTGCACTTTAAAGTGACATGCTGATGTTGTTTACAGCTAAAGGAAAGGAGATGTTACAGATATGGGCATCTGTTAATGCCTGCTATATAGTGACGCCTGTTGGCGCTTTAGTAAACTGCATGCTGACACAGGCTTACACTGTGATGTACTATATCCGCAAGCGCGGGAATATACATGTGATGGAGTTGTGAGTTACGGAATAAAGCTGCAGACTGAAACAACGGCTCTGTCAAGTGCCTGCCGCTGTTAGCTTCTTGTCTCTGCTAGCTGCTCCGTGGAGCTAGCTACAGGGACTCTGCCTGTTCAGCTCATCCAGGAAACACAACTTGTAGCCGGCCGTGGTTGTTTGTTCTTCATGCTTATATATCGGACTATTGTGACTCGCTCTGCGGTTAAAACAGACGGTGCATGAATGCGGTAAGTGAAATTCGAGTGCTTTATTTATGTGAATGATTTTAATCGGCTACGTAATGAATGGTAGGCTTGGGTGTTAGTTAGTGGCTAGTGGTAGCTACATCGGTGCTAACGATTGTAATCGTAGCCTCCAAGTTAAAATCATATATAAAGATTACAACTAAATAGACAAGTGTTAAGTGGGATAATACTGTTGAACAAACGGCTTCTGTTTGAGGTTGATAAAATAAGGTTACATCCTTGTAACTTAGAGATATTTTATTATATAGGTAGAACTGTATGCATCTAAGGTTAATTTAAATTGGCTATGCTCAAGTATGTAGACAAGCTAATGTCGAAGTAGTGTATGTGAAATCAACCTCACAATAAGATGTGTGTATATTACAATTATTAATGTCATATTTCAAGATGATTACTTAGATATTACAATATGGTTGGTTGAGCTGGAGTTCATTATCGAGCTTACACGTTAACGTCACAGTCATCTGAAGAACGAACCCAAACCTTGAAGTTTTTATTAATTGCATTACCAAATGGGTATCAAATAAACAGTAAGCATTGGTAACACAACTTCCAAAGTTACAGTAAAATAAAAAGGACCCTGACTCGGACAATACACAATCCAACATGTTCAACAGAAGATAATCAGTTATATTGTTTGTACACATGGTACTTTACATATATATCTGTTTGTTTAAAGTGTCCAGGTGATGCAGACAGGCTGGACCAGAGAGTGAGTGACAGAACTGGACTCCTCACAGCAGTGAACTTCAGCACAGGTACAAATACTCTTTTTTCATACTGTACAAAGAATCAAGAAAGATATTGGTTTAAATGAATGAAGTATTGACTTGAATACACTGATATACATTCCATTAAACAATACTAAATACTAGATCACCTACACATCAGTGAAGTTGAGGGTTTTTTCCATGCAAAAAGTTACATTTAGATATTTAGCAATATGACTTTGTCAGCTTTCTAATTTAATGTATTGAAGGCAAAGATATTTAACACATAGTGAGAACTGCTACTATTTATCTCTCAATATTGTCTGTAAAAAACGTGGTAAAAGTGATTATTTCAGTGAGACAACAGAGCAAGCTTCTACAGTTGCACTACGTTTTGATAACAGTTCAATATTATTTGATAATAACATATATTTCAATGTTGATGAACTTCATACTGTTCATTCATAATCTGATTGTCTTTGTAGCTCATTGTTGAAATAAAAAAAAAACATTACAATTACAAAATAATTATATCTACAGCCATTAATGAGCCATTCACAGTTTCACTGTACCGGCCGTGTGTACTTAGACTTGCATGGCTTAATCTTTGAGACAAGCATATGCTACTGGCAGGATCAACCAGGTAGCCTGTGATGAAGTAGGGTCGACCCTATATCATATACACACAAACACACCGCTTTCATAAATAATACACTTGTTCTGCAATAATATGTTTTATGTTTCCTGTCATTTTTGTTAGGAAAGGACATGCCTGAAAGACACAACATTTTCTCCTTCTCTGAGGGTCAAGAAGAACATCCAAGAGGAACATTAAAAGCTGATGTTATGAGATTTTAAGACCAGTACAGGACATTCACTAAGAAACTACTTTTATTGTAAAAACAGTCAGCTGATCGAATGCAGCTATTTCCACATCTACACTCCATCAGCTGATTATTTCTATTTGCCTCACTTTATGAGCTTCACAACATGTACCTTGTTTTGCAACGTCACAAATAAATGGGTTCAATCTTCAGTCAGATGTGAATGTGTAATCTAACATTTTCAGTAAGAATAATGGACAAAAGGAGTGCAATTACAAATACAATTTATTGAAATGTGAACCAAAAGCACATATGGACAGAAGGTGTAAACCTATTAAATGTATAAGTAAACACATTTAGTCAAATAAAGTGACAGACTAGGCCTGTGCAGTTGGTATCAGCTTTGCCCAGCATGGGCTCCTTCATCAGCCCTGGTCCTCCTCACTGAGGAAAGACCCTCAGTCCTCTCCAAACCAACAGACAGGACGTCCATCACAAGGAGGTTTCTCCCTGAAGTCTCTCCTGCTCTCTGGACACCATGCTGTCTCAATCCGTCCACACTGAATATGAGAGGGGGAAAATGAAAATAATAAATGCTTTAGACCAGGGGTTCTCAAAGTTTTGATGAGTGAGGGCCAATTTAGGTACCCAATATTGGATTGAGGGCCGCCCAAGAAAAAATGGAACACAAAATAATTCCAAAACAAATCCTTTCTTTATTGTACTAACCAATTACCGCAACTCGCGAGATGCCTAGTTGCCATGCAACCAGTAGTCTAGCAAACTTTCCACAAGCTGTCATTCATAATTTAGGAATGACAACCCAGGGGGCGCAGTTTTACCATTCTTAACCCTCTGGAGTCTAAGGGTATTTTCTCGATTTTTAGATGTTTTCTTAAATCACCTTTTAAATGTATTTATTCTAACATGGCACCCCATGTGTTACATATCAAAATGTTCAGGACAATCTCTGGTCTTGCTATGTATGCATATTGCTCACCTTAGAGCACTGTTTGATGAGATAAGTAGCTCAAAAGCTTAAAATGTGTAATCCGATATTTGGAAAATCTTCAAAACTCTTGTGAAAACACAAATTTACTCATGTGATCGAATTGTTTTGGTGTTTTAGATTTGGTTACCAAAGTCTTAGGATCACAAAAGCAGTGAAATATTTGAATTACACTGTATATAAATGTGTTATTCATGTCTAAAATGAAAAACATTCAATTCAAATGTTGAGTAAAATAGGTGTTTATCACTCTACTTTCACCACAGCAGGGACTGAGATACATTACATTACATTTCGCTGACGCTTTTATCCAAAGCGACTTACAATTACCAATTACAGGGACATTCTCCCTGGAGTAACTAAAGGCTAAGTGCCTTACTCAAGGGCACACTAGTGGATTTGAACTCACAACCTTCCGATCTTCACCCCACCTCACTATCCACACCACTATCCTCACCACTAGCCCACATCAGGACTGAATAATAACTTCATATTACATACCAAGGTTCATGTGATGTGTACAAATACAAATTGAGCATTCAACCTTTTTTTTCCAACCAACTATTTATATAAATATAAGAAACTGGAAAATCTCACTATTTACAATATTGAACATCAGAACTTTCAACCAACTATTCATTATAAATGTCAAGACAGTGTCATGGTCTTTGTCTGACAGTGGGTCTGGCTGCTGTGAAGATGGGGGTGATGGTGCATGGGCTGCTGTGTAGGTGGGGTGTCCAAGTGCTATACGAGACCTCCTTTCTGGCTGGGTTGAAGGTGATGGCTGTGGTGGAGCCTTTGTGCTGAGGTGTATCTTGACATGGTGGCAGCCGCAGATGGAGGTGGAGGCAGCTGTAGTGATGCTGGTCTGCTGGTCCTTGGTGGTGATGGCTCTGGTGAAGGCCCTTGAGCCACAGTAGATCTTGACCTGGGGGCCGGCACAGATGGATGTTGTGGCTGCTGGATAAACGCCGCCTGTGTAGGACAATAATTACAACTAATTTCATTGAAATAAAGTTCAAGTAAATGTTGCTCAAGCAAAAATAACAATGCACACATAAAATAAAGTTTGGGAGGTTGCAGAAGGAGTCTCTCGATCTCTCTCTCACACACACACACACACACACACACATACACACACACACACACACCACACACAC